TTGGTGGGGAGCATCACCTGCTGGAAAAGTTGGTCTAGCGTCCTGGAACATTGTAGTTGTTTGTTTGTACAAGCATAGAAGTGACTGACTGAAGCAACAGCAAGCTGCAGGGTCTACATGGCAAAAAGAGGGTTTGAGAAGCAGAACTTCACAGCGGCCTAGTAGGTTGATTGCCTGCATGAGAGTGCAAGGAAAGAGGCCATGCTGATCTCCGCTGTATGGTTCTAATTTTAACATGTGTCCCGTGGGTCACACGGGTGGCATTGATGCGGACAAATATCTTGTAGGGAGGCATCCCATATGCGGGCTTTTTCTTCTTTTTCTTTTTTTTTCCCAGTTGGCCGTCGTTTTGTGAACCCCTTTTCCTTTTTCGTTTATCGCACCTGTTGTGCTTTTTTTTTTACTAGCCTAATTGTGGTCAGGGTTCACCATGGCCTTTCATTTGGTGAGTTTTCCTTTTCTTTTGATGGCCAGGGGTGAGTTTTCATTTTCTCCCACCTTTTTCGGGGTAACTAGGGCGCAGTCAAGATTTCAATTTTAAATCCAGTTCAGGCATCCCTCGAATACAACGCCATCCCCTCACCACCCTAAAGATGTTTTTTTTATTTTTTATTTAATGGGCCCAGTGCCCAAGGCTGATAAGCCTGATATTAATCAATAAGAAGATTGAGGCCGGGGTCCTCACAGTCTACCCCGAGTAACCGAACCAAGATTGCTGAGAACCAGGCTCAGCGTCCCTCCTTTGATCAGGACATAAACCACTTATGCTGGAGACGGGGTCCAGCGTCCCATATCAAAAAAAAAACTCATGTTCTTGCCTCATGGCATGGTTGGGTTATTATAAGGAGAACTGCTGGGGGGCACCAGCGGGGTCTCCTTCTGACCCCTTACCCTGTCTTCCAGCTGTCCTTTTTGCAACGTCATGTTAGGGACCATGTTGAGCCTTTGAACCACATTGAACCATATTGAACCATGTTCAACCATGTTCAATCAAGCTGCTTTTGTGCAGGATTTCGGAAAGAAATTTGACATTATTGATTTCATCGATCCCCTCCCCAATTATGTGACCCCAAGAGATGATTATCTGATGCTTGTGACACGCAACCTCACGCCCTGTGCTGTCTTCCGTTCGGAGTCTTAGTCATGCGGAAAGACGCCCAGAAAAACAGCAAGATGGGGTGTGCCAAGGATTTTTGGAAATTGAGTGTGGGGACACACACGGAACTGAAATCCCCCGTGTTGGTACGATGGAGCAAGTTGGTTAGTTTCGCGCGTCGCGGAATGCGCGCGCGGACGTGACGCGAAAAAAGAAAGACCCAAATTCAATCCAAAAAATACTGTCGGGCTTCCCACCGAGCTACCGCCCGTCGTTTGGAGCAAAAAGGTTTTGGCACGCTTCGCGT